TTAACAAGGGATTATTTTATTTGGAATTTAAGGGAGGTATTAGCCACCGACTTGGCGAGGTTGCTACCCCTTATCCGGACGAAAAAAAGGGGTAGTTGGACTCATTTTGCGGGCCCTCAGACTTGTGTTTTAAAGAGTTTTATTGAGATTGAGCTAGCAAGGGTGTTGTGTGGGTAGTTTCAGTGTGTTAGGAAGTTTTCACAACAATATATAGCTGTGGACGAAATTTTGGAATTCGTAACTAAAGGCCGTATGACACTTATCGAAATTTAGTGTGGGGACAACAATGTGGTAATCGCTGTGCAAAAAAATGCTAAAGTTGTTCGGAACAATTTTAAACGATACTTCCACTCACTTGGGAGAGGTGCCATGGCAAGAAAATTCAATACGTACATGGAATTTGTAATTGTTGTATATAATGTATAATGGAACAATAAATTTAATATACCGGGTGGCGCCTAGCGCGACGCAGCAGTCGATTTCTACGGTTTCGAAAAACGGAAAATTATAAGTGAGAGTATATGAACAGCTGCAGTATTTTTTTCTCTAAAGAAAATGTATTTAGATTTTTGCTCTAAAATAATTTAGGGGAGCTAGTATTTGACTATAAAGAAATTACCATTGAAATCCCTATGCTGCGTCGCGCTAGGCACCACCCTGTATAGAACAAACGGGATATAATACAATATTTTTGTTAACGTCCAGATTGTTTAATGCTTCCATACAGCAGATGAGTAATTTGTTGCTCCACCTGCAGCCGTATATCCACATCTGTAATTTGCTGCAACTTTGTTACAACAAATCGAGCGAATGCGTCATCAGGGGATGTTTGAGGGGTGAGGAGGTGTCTGTTTAGGTTCATTTAACTCTTTTGTTAGAGTTTGTAGCACTGTTGCTGCCTGCTCAATTACCAGGTCTTCGTTTTTCACTTTACGTTTTTTCCCTAAACATCGTTGGTACATAGACACTGCACTAGAACGTCCGGAGGTTCTCTAGGGGGTTACTTCGCCATCTGAAGAAACATACACCCCTGCAGTGACTTGCGAAGAACCTTCACCCCATGCTTCACTACGCCTTCTAGAGTCACCTTCATTCCTCTCACTGTACTCCTGTGACTCAGCTAATTCCACATCAGTGGCAAGGTCATCGGTTACTTCTTGCTGTTGTGTCAGGAAATCGTAACTTTCCCTGACTGCAGCATTATCCAGCAGGAAATGTAACCGGTCGAAATACCATATTGTGGGCCGATATACCTACAGTGTACCGTACCATGGACTTCATACATTAATTACGTACGTTATATACTTACATTATCGTCTCCTGTACCGCTCACAAGCGTTGCCTCATATTTCTTATATTCGTTCAAGAAATTCGTCCGAAGCCCATTAAATTTTGCTTTGACATCGGCTATTGTCACTGTCGGTCTTATTTGTTTCAAAACGTCCCGAATCGCTTCCAGTGCAGTTCTGGCGTGCTTGTTTTTGTAAAGAGGAGACTACCACATACAAGCAGGGGTACTTCTGGTACTCATCAATAAGCACTTCGCACTGTTAGCGTGACCAAGACATCTTCACAAATGTTTAATTTTTCTAAATGAAATTATAAAAATTAACAACTTATACAGGTTATGTTACTACCAACCATAAATAAACATTTACAACGCGCACATCCTACAGAGTGGATTTTGTAAGAAATTTAGTCTCTATTTAGAGCATGTTCTAAAAAATTTTGTGCAAACTGATTTTATTTGCAAATTTGTATACATACTCTGTATGACACGTTTACTAAATTTTGTACGAAATTTTGCAACTAAATTTAGTGCTAAATTTCGATGTCATACGGCCTTTACACTAAGAGATAAAATTGGAATGCAGTACAACTGGGAAGGGATCCGAGGAAAAAAGATAAACAATTTTCAACCTTGAATGCAACACCTAAAACATGATACCTTATTTTCTTTTGATGTGCTTGTCATCTGGGATCGTTTTTTGGTTACTAACAGGATTAGATTTTCTCTTTAATACCAATAATAGAATTTATAGACTTTGAAGAAAGATGCATCTAAATTGGAATACGCGACGGTTAAAGCTTCGTTCACATATAGGCGACGCGACGCTACAGTTTGTCGTTCGCTACACCGCCATTCACACATGGCGACTGTTTGTAAGAGACACTCAACAGCGCATGCGAGGACTGAAACCAGCGACCAGGCGGGCGCATTTGCAAAGTAGGGGAGGTGGGGGCACAGCGGACCTCTCAAGGTTAAATGCCTTCTGTTTTGCTTATCAGTTAATTTAAAGCAAAAACCTGTACATCATAGTAAGATAGGACCCTCTAATTGCCATTGCTGGTGCAAGGTAGACTAAAGGTGCATTCAGCGCTATGCAATATTAAAAAAATCAGAAACTTGCAATGGTCCCTTTCGCCCCAGCATGTGGGGCGAGAAGGACCTCCACTGGGAGCGAAAAAGACCGTTTCAATAATTGTGCAGTGTAAGTTTTATCCAAGCTGAAAACGCATACGTAAATAAGTTACACATGTTACAAGACATTTTACTTATTTATTAAAACAGAGATTGCATTGAAAAACATCCTCATCATCCTCAACGCCTGCACAAGCATCGTGTGCCCATTGCTTGCACAGCAAACACTGGATCCACCCTTCGCCAGATTTGGATTGCAAGAAAGAGCTGTTACAATACAAACACTTAGTATTCTGTTGATCATCTTCACTTTCGGACGAAACCTGGCGTTTTTTTGTGTTTTTCATTTGCTGCTTTCCCTTTCCTTTTTTTTGAGTAGCCTGAGATTCATCTGATAATTGAAATGGTCACTATCCATCCACCCCGAACTGTTTGCGTATCCCTGTGATCCAGCAGAACATCCTTTCATTAACAAAGGATTCATTCTTTGCCTTGCAAAAAGGAAAAATGGAGGGATGTAAAATCCAGACGCAGATATTCCACAAACAGCCGTAGTGTTGAATCCTCTTTCAGCGCTTACGATGCAGCCAACTTGTTTTTTGCCCTTATGTGCTAATATTTTTCTTGGAACAGGAACAGTGTTAAAACCGCACTCATCGATGTTAAAGATTTGATGGGCCTGAAGATTATGTTTTCTTAGTGTGGACTCAATAAGACTGAAAAATCTCTCTACTTGCGGTCTATTGAACCCAACAGCTCTAGCTACACTAGTAGGCTCAGGGGCACGAATTGAAAATTGAGGATTTCTCTTCCTAAATCCTGTAAACCAATCGTACCCAGCAAGTTTGACATCTTTATTGAAAGGGTGTTTTATATTCAAACTTTCAGCCAAATCGAACGCGAGTTTCCGACACTCTGTGGCTGTTATGCCATAAAATCGACTTTCTAAATCTAGTATGTGGTTAAGCAACACCTTTTCCTGTTCAGCTGTAAAAACTTGTTTGTAAGTGTCGTTTCTAGGCTCCGGGTGATCGACAACGTTATGCAAACGTCGAAGCAAACAAGTCTTTGGGATGTTAAAGCGTTGGCTGGATTTTCTAATAGACAGAGTATTTGATCTAACAGCGGCTTGCATAGTAGCAGAGTTCCATTTATCTTCCGTTTTATACGTTCGTACCATCTTATAAACAAAACACATAGTTTAAACGGCATGGGCATTTTTATTGTGAAGTAGGTAAGTGGGATTTGTGGCATTAATAGATCAAAATGTTTTCAATTCCCAAAATTCGAGTAGGTACACAAGCAAACGATTCGTTAATGTTAAATCGTGTATACGGGGTAAAGAGGACCGGTTCCCTTCGCCCCATTCACTTCGGTCCTTTTCGCCCCGCATGTTGATCTTGTAGATTAAATTTTCGAACCTGTGTTTTGTTTTTATTATGATTTATGGAACACTACTTAACGTTTGGTAACATATGTGACTGTTAATATGCAAAGTTTGAAACCGATAGCTATTACAAGTGACATTCTACGGGCACAGGAAAATGTATAAATTTTAGATCACTTACTATGAAATTCGTTGGGATCACACCACTACAAAACGATGCATGGGTTTACATCTCAAATGGAATCACGCACGTTTTAAGAGCGCTAGATGCAGGTTATCTCTTTTGTGCATAGGTGGGGCTAACGATATAGAAATTAAAATCGTGGTCCTCATCGTCGTCCTCTGTGTCGAGCTCTTCAGATGAAGATTTATTTGTGCTTGGTGCGATAGCAGTAGAAGAAGAACGAAATGCAAAAAGAAGAAAAAGGTCATGTTGGATAAGTGACATTAATATGAAGAGAGAGGAATTTGGCGAATATCATCATTTATTCGGAGATTTGAAGAAAGATAAACGGAAATTTTTTCAATATTTCCGAATGTCTCAAGAAAAATTTTATGAACTTTTGGCGTTAATAACACCTCACATACTGCGCGAAAATACAACTTATCGACGAGCCATAAGTTGTGAGGAAAGGCTTGCTGTTTGTCTTAGGTAAATAACTTAACTTTATTGGACATTGTTATTTATTAAACATAAAAAAACGAGTACAAGTGAATTACAGTTGTTGTAAAGACGGGTTAGAAGGCGTTGGAGGAGACTGCAGTGGGAATGTTGGCTGCAATTATGGTATGGTATGGGGAGCGGCTTGGTATGCATGATTGACTGCAGACGATAAATGTAATGTAGAATGCGGGTACATGTGTTGGGAATGGAAGGGTGTTTGTGGGGGGTAAGTAGAGGACTGAGAAATCGAAGAAGGGTGGGCGAAGTCGGGCGATTCTGTTGCGAGTTGATATTCAACGTTGTGAATAAGTGTCAAAATTTGAGACTTTTATTTGGACATGAAGGGGGAAGCTACGCACGGTTTCTTCCACCCCTGCAAAATATTTGCTAAGGGAATCCATGGAAGTGTTCTTTGATTTTTTATATGCAATGTATTCGTGTAGCGCAGTTGATGTTGAAGTTTCGGATGAAGGCTGCTTTTTTTTAAACACTCTCGGTCTCGAAGGAGTCTCGCTGCTAACTATTGTTCATTCGCTTTGAGTTTCTAATAGATCTTCTGATTCGTTGGGGTTGCTAGCAGATTCATCTTCATCTGATACTGATGCGTCTTCGTCTTGTTGAAGTGGTACATTTGTCTTAATGTTGCCTGCTTTGTTATTTGAATATTTCGAAAGGAACTCCATTTCTTTCTCGAACTTCCATTTTCTGTGATTGACTGCTGCCTGACCAGATTTAGTCTTCCGGTTTTCTACACTTCGTCTATATGGATCACGAAGATTCTTCCACTTTTTTTTACAGTCTTTTGCTAGAACAAAGTAAAGAATGTAGAAGATGTATCAGGTCACTATAATCACCTTGGAAACGCCTTATAACTGGTTAGCCATGCAAAATCTTAACTGGCAAGCAAGTTAAAGTTTACACGTCCACTCATTAATAAATAAATGAACTGAGTGTCCAGAGCAATATCGAAATTTCGGAATTGTTAGTTTTTAATAGCTTTAATCAAATAAATTGGGGGTTACAAGTGAGTAACAACTAAAGTATTGAACTATACTCGTCAGGTAAGGGTTTTACTGGCTCCAGAAGGTGACTGGCTCGCCTCATACCCTACTGTCCGCTAGTAAAAACCTCCTTACCTGACTTGTAATGTTAACTACTATAAATAATTTTAATTCCAGGTTTCTAGCAACTGGCGATACGTTCAAAACAATATCCTTCAGTTATCGTATTGGTGTTTCGACGGTAAGCAAGATAGTTTATGAAACTTGTGAGGCAATTTGGGACGTTCTTAGACCCATTGTTATGCCTGAAATGACCGAGAATTTGTGGAAAACAAAGGAAGAACAGTTTCGAGCCAGATGGAATTTCCCAAATTGCCTTGGCGCGATGGATGGTAAGCATGTGGTGATTCAGAAACCTCACCATAGTGGTTCTCTGTATTTTAATTACAAAAAAACATGCAGCATCGTTCTCCTCGCGCTAGTTGACGCCAATTACAAGTTTACGATTGTCGACGTAGGTGATCCTGGCAAAAACAGCGACGGAGGTATTTTTTCCCATTCGACTTTTGGGAAGAAATTTTTCAAAGGAGAATTAAATTTTCCACTCGAAAAACCCTTGCCAGGTACATCACCATCAATGCCTCATGTCTTAGTAGGCGATGAAGCTTTTCCGTTGCATCACAACCTCATGAGACCATATCCAGCTGTACAGCTCTCTGGTAACGAAAATCGAAAAATTTTTAATTATAGACTTAGTCGAGCAAGAAATGTGTCTGAAGATGCCTTTGGTATATTGACAAAAAAATTTAGAATTTACCAACGACGATTGGAACTGAAACCTGACCATGTTATTACTGTTGTGTCGGCTACATGCTGTCTCCATAATTTTCTAAGAGATGACCACTACCTTATTTTCGGATAGTATTGAAAAAGAAGAAGTGCCAGCTAACGGATTGGAAAACTTGCCAGGTATTGGAGGATCGTCTGCGGCGGATGCGAAATTACGCGAAAAATTTTGCGAATATTTCAATTCAGAAGCAGGGTCAGTTGAATGGCAAAAAAAATTATTCGCCAAGGGAAGAAAGAATGACCGAGTTAAAATTGATGCTGTGCTGAGAACCACATTAAAAGACTACTTTGTTTGATACACCAAGAAATAGTTAAATTTAATAAAAAATTATACAGCTTACCTGAGCATTTCATTTTCTCAGCTATTTCCTCCCACGCGTTTTCTCGCACCGTTTGATTGCTGTACCTTCCATCTTGCAGATCATACAGGAAAGTATACTCTTGCACTAATAAAATTAATTGTTCCTCGTCCATTGACACTCACCTTTTTAAACAAAAAATGAACGTAAGTACAAATATGTAAAAGAGTGTCTCATGACTCATGCACAACAAAGTGAGTCAAAAATGAGTATTGGACTACATATATCAAATTGTATACCAAAATTAAGGTGAAAGTAGTTAATTACTTACCAAAATAGACAACTTATAATAAAATTTCCGAACTCTGTTTACGCGTGACTAGACGTAATGAGTAGATAGCTGAACTGAATGCATCAACGCATGCGCGCTGCATCATCACCCGATGACTATACGTCATGAGGCGCGGGAATTTCGTCGCGCGCTGTCGTGTCGCTTGAATGGCCCCTCGAGAATGCGATCCAAGTGTCGCGCTGTAGTGTAGTGTCGCGTAGTACATGTGTGAACGCTGGCATTTGATTACATGGAAAGCATTCAAACTACAAAGTGTAGCGTCGCGTCGCCTATATGTGAACGAAGCTTAAACTATCAATGGGTCGTTGTAGTTACTAACCGGATATACTAGAGCAACAGACTTAGTTTATAAATTTGCGTATGTCGACTCCATTCCTTGGTCAATCTTCATGAGTCTGGCCATCGTTACGCCGGAAGTAAACTGGTGTCTCAAAGCAGTATCCAGAAAGTTCCCAAAATTGCAGGTCGCAGCGATTGTACGCATATTCGTCATAATAATCTCGGACCGATTCTCCTTCATTTTGTAGACGCTGCACACGGGCGAATTTTCAAAAAATCATTCAGAATTTTTCTAAATTATACCGTGTTCTATTAGTTCCTTCGCCATATTAAGTCCTCTGTAAGGTTATGTTGGTACTGACAGTTTGAAGTTGACATTTGTTCAAAGTAATGTATCCGGATCTAACGATTATTTATAACTCAAAAGTGTGTTAACGCTATAACTGAAAATTCTTGTACACAAAGATGCTAATATGCGGACTTATTCGAAAAATTTTAACATTATTGATCTATCTATTAAGACACAAGTTGCAGATAAATCAATATTTCGACGGATTGTCTTCTCTACATGCCTGGATAAATGGATAAAATGGAAATTCGGCAATGACTAGTTCGTGGAGTTGAAATAAAACAAAATATTGCGGAAAGCAAAAAAAATTCAGGAGTCATTTAGGCAACAAATGGGATTATTAGTTGATGAACCAAAACCAGACGCTGGGGTACGGAAGTACCAATGATGGAAACACAGAGAGACGTTTTCTTAATGATCCTGCCACTTCAGCAAAAATTACATAAGTCGATGAACAACTGATGAATTCCTCGCTTCCACATAATTTTGTTGACAATTTCTAGCGGTTATCCCATAGAAAAAAGGTCGTTTGGAATGTATTGTTTAGATACTGCAAAAATATTTGTAGAGCTGTATGCATGGTATAATAATAATAAACTCCATTTAATAAAATTGCTAAACTTGCAGGAATTATTATAATTATTTTTGTGTTTTGTTTTCCTCTTTCCTGATAGCGTTGGCTATTGTGTCCATCAATAGCTATGTTGGTAAGTATGAATTACATACTATCCCTAGATTTCCAATGTGCGTGTGAAATTTTTATTTTTTTTTTCTTAGGACCCGACATAACTTCACCAGACGAGCGGCGTACAGACACAGACACTAATCGTTACTTGATGTTAATCCGTGCGATTAGTTAACCAGGCTAGACCTGAGTTCTCATAAGAAACACCGACCATAATAATAATAATATTTATTCAAACCACTTTACAATAAATATAATGTTGTTTGTGGCAAGTCAAGAGAGACAAATAAAAGTATAGGACAAACGTAGTGACATACACTACATACAACATACAGGACTAGTTGACTACATGGAGGCCCAATCCAAGTACTCTACAGTTGAGTAGAACGCATGTGAGGTAAGAACTTTTTTTAGGGAAGATTTGAATTGGGATAGTTATAGTGTTTTAAAGATTGCCGGAAGTTTATTATACAATTGAATGTCAATTGAATTGTTAGAGTTTTAGTCTATGTTTATGTAATACTAAGAGATTTGATGATCTTGTGTTGTGATTATGAATATCCGAGTGTTTTTGATACGTCGCACTGCATTTGTGAATTTCGACAAGCGAATATAAAATAAACAAAGCTGGTAGTGTTAAAATATATAAATTTTTAAAATGCTTACCACTGTTCATAAAATACTGATTCACAGTGCAGATATTTTGGCTTATGCTTTCCTTCCCATAGCGAAGAGGCTCAAGAAAGTCGTAACAAAGATATAAAACGTTGCAGAGAAGGTTTATCAAGAAAATTTAAGTATAAGAATACAAAACTTGCAGGATATTTCCAATAAACTTTTAGTCTCAACAATTCCTTACACCACAAGTATGAGGAAATTAGGTGGTAAAAATCTTAAGAAGTACAAAAATTTTTAAAAGAATCTGATTTATTTTCAAGTCCATTAGATTGAGACACTGATGAAAAATCTAGTGATTCTGATTTAAAACAATTATTCTAACTTCGGCGTTTTAAAATTTACATCATGCAGACCACGTATATGGCTAATATAAAAAATTGCTGCTACAAACAAAAGTGGTGCTGGAGCTGATGATGTAATATTTTAACCCTTTCACGCCTAACGACGCATATACCCGTCTTTCTTAAAAACGGCCCACAGCCTAATGACGCAAATATACGTAGGTAATGGGATAAAACATGTTTTATGGACTATTGACGACTATATGCGGCGCATTTACATATACACCATTTTCACTGGCCGGCTGCCGCAATAAGACGTCGTATAGATGCGTTTTGTCCCACCTGATGCCGTATATTTGCGACACTTGTAAAAAGTTCTTGGCAACCTATTGACGCATATACACGTCTTGCTGTTTACAAATGTTGTGCATTCCGTAGTGATCACTGTTCTTGGTTTAAGTGCTTGTTTTTCGTTAGGACAGGTAAGTTTGTATATCTAAAAATTTTAATTTTGTGTGTTGCGTGCAATCCATATAAATACTGCTAGATATTATCTACAAATAACCTACGATAATTCATAACCTAAAAAAACCTACAGACTTTGCTATGATCAATCCAGCGGAATTTTATGGATCTTCATCCAAGAAAGAAGATTCCCAACCTCCTAATGAAAGAGCAGGACCTTCTGGATTAGAAAATAAGAAACGGTTCTCTTCACGATTTACAGAAACGTCGCGGAAATCACAAAAAAAATTCCAATTCAAGATCAGAAGATGATCTTAGCAGTGGTGACGAGAGTGCTGTGGATCCTTATGAAGATAGTGGTAGCGACTATCTCCCCGATACTGACGACTCATTGAGTGATGTTGAGAATCTAGATGAATTTGAAGATAATGACAACGAACCAAATAAAAATACTACAAATGACGATGACCAAATGGATACGAATGAAGACGGTGAGTGTGACTACAGCGACATACACATTCTTTGGGGCGATGATGAGTTCATTCCCAAGAAACATCCATTTGACAACACTTCCAGTGGCTTAAAAAATGAGTTTCTAACCGAAAACAGTGAAGAAGTTGATTTTTTTCTCAATCTTCTGCCTGAAGATATTGTTTCGCACATAGTGCAGGAGACAAATAGATATGCATCTCAAAACCATACACAGAACTGGAAGGATATTGACTTGAATGACATGTATGTTTTTTAGCGCTAACTATGCTTATGGCTCGAAATAAGAAACTTGCTATAAAGGAATACTGGTCCTTGAATCCCCTCTTTAGTTCTCCAATTTTTAGAAAAACAATGTCACGAGATCGATACCTAGGTATTCTGTCCAGTTTACACTTTGCAAACCATGAGGATCAATCTACAACTCGCTTGTATAAAGTAGAGAATGTACTAAATCTTATGAAAGAAAGAGTTCGGTCGCAATTCTATCCATTTGAATGGTTAGCTGTAGATGAAAGTATGGTTTTGTTTAAGGGTAGATTATCATTTAAACAGTACATCAAAACAAAACGACACCGATTTGGCGTGAAACTGTACGTTTTATGCGACTGTGAAACAGGGATTGTCTTAGATTTCATTGTGTATATCGGCAAGGACACCAATGCGTATGTAGAAGAACTAAAGGGTATGCGTTCCTCAGGATCAATCGTAGGCACTCTACTAAAATCTTACCTTGACTATGGCCATAGTTTGTACACCGATAACTATTACGCAGTGTCCTACGTGAGCGGCAACGTGATAAGGTTTGTGTTTCATGTCCCAAAGAACACGAGTATTTTTGACATTACTAATTAAAAGTTCGTAAAATGTGTCAGACATGATGTATACCCAAGAACTGACCGACGTAGATTGAAGCGGCAGACGCGGAAATATCAAATATTTTGACCTGCTGTGCCGCCTCAAAAACGCTTGAGCAGCGCGTGCCGCGCGGTGGTTGCTAGGTAGGACATACCAATAAACTATCATGGTTTGATATAGCCGCGAGGACCGCGCCGGCCGCGCTTTGCCGCTCACGTAGGACACTGCGTTACAGCAGCCCAATACTGTCAAATTATTTATTTGATCGGAAAACAAATTCCTGTGGTGTACACCGCAACTAAAGAAAAAAAACGAGTCCAGAGTGAACAAGAACGTTGTGCTGGTATGACAGAAGCTGCAGCTGGTCTCATACAAACATTCCAAAAAAAGCAAAGAAGTACCAGTAGAAAAACAGCCAACGCTTGACGCAACTGACAATTTTTAAAATAAGATCCTTCAGATATAGCAGCACGAAAATTAATGTGTGCCACATATTTTCAAAATTTTCTGCATTTAGTTTGCCATTTACAAAGACCACGCTGTATAGTAACGATTGGTTTGGGCTTCGTTACGCAAGAAGACCGCGATATTTTTGTAACCACCGAGGGATGTTGTCCTGGCGAAGATGAGGGGCAATTAATATTCTTTAGTTTCAACGCCGTTAATTATTTGTAAGATGTTTTAGATTCCCATAATAAGTAAAATCAAGGATAGAACGAGTTCAGTGTGACGGTCACAT